TAAAGAAAAAGCAAGCTAACTATCCTAGGTAAGATGGGTTTCTCCTGTTTATCTTGGGGTTCTTTANGAGAAGACTCTTGAGAGTCCCTTGGACTGCAAGGAGATCCAACCAGTCCATCCTGAAGGAGATCAGTCCTGGGTGTTCATTGGAAGGACTGATGTTGAAGCTCAAACTCCAATACTTTGGCTACCTGATGTGAAGAGCTGACTCATCTGAAAAGCCCCTGATGCTGGGAAAGATTGAGGGCAGGAGAAGAAGGGGACAACAGAGGATGAGACAATTGGATGGCATCACCGATTCAATGGACATGGGTTTGGATGGACTCTGGTAGTTGGTGATGGACAGGGAGGCCTGGCGTGCTGCAGTTCATGGGGTTGCAAAGAGTTGGACACGACTGAGCGACTGAACTGAACTGAATTGACTCTTGTGATCAGTCTCCAACAGTGGACTAATCACAGTTTTCTGACATTGTTTTTTCCTGTCCTATATTTTCCAGCCAGTATGCCAGTCAGTAGTCAAGGACTGGTTGTTGTTGTTCAGTTGCTAAGTCATGTCTGACTCTTTGTGACCCCATGAACTACAGCACGCCAGGCTTCCCTGTCTTTCACTATCTCCCAGAGTTTGCTCAAACTCATGTCCATTGAGTAGGTGATATCATCCAACCATCTCATCCTCTGTTGCCCCTCTGTCTCATCCTCTGTCACCAAGGACTGGTAATTACCTTGAATGGAATACCAGTTCAGCAAGAACTAGAAAAATGGAACAAATTAAAAAACCTGTTTTTGGAATTGTTCAGTTGGGGAATTGAGATCAATTCTATGCTCAACTAGTCAAAATCCAACCTTTAATCTATTATGTTCTTCGGTAGCAGGAGACAGGCAAATCACTGGCAGATAAGGAATGCCCTTAGAGGGCAAGAAAGTCTGCTAGATATGCCTTGAATATAACTAAATAAAGTTTTCTTGCTTTCCAGTATCCTTTTGGTTAACACTAATAAATCTCTTATCTCAGTGAGAAGTAGGCTGAGGTGGTTACTTTTATTCCCGGCAAACACAGCCATGGTCACTGCACAGTCTGAGAAAAGGGTATAAATGTCTTTTGAATAGATATATCCAGGACAAATGCCAACTGAGCTGGTTCTGTTTAAAGCCTGCATAACTTGATTTCTTTAGCCAAATCAGTATGCTGCAAACTGCACTCTCTTACTAACATTAAGAATGTGACCAGTTAAATTTAAATTTCAGAAGTCTGTTCTTTACTACCAAATTGAAAATACAGATTTTTCAGTTTTGGAAAACAGAGAATATAACTCAAAAGGATAATTACTCTGTGTACATTAAATATGTCTGTGTTGAGACCACAATGGTATACAGGCAACTACGGGACTATAAACAAGTTGTGATCTGAGAGCCTGGTAAATCCAGTTGTTTAGAACTTGCTACATAATTCTTCCATTAAAACATTCATAAATCACAACTAACATTTACTGAACATTTACTGCTTGTCTAGAGCTGTTTTGAGTGCTTAAGAGTTCACTTGAGTGAACTCTTCTATTTCACATTTATGAGGAAACGGATGCACAGATTGATTAGGTAATTAGTTCAGGGTCATACAGCTAGAAAGGGGCAGGGCAGAATCTGGACCTCAGCAAGTAGGCCATTTCTAAAGTCTGCCTTAGACTGAGACTTAACCATCATGAATTTCATCTCTTGCTGGACAGGTTCAGAGGCTAGACTATTTATCTTGGAGTAGTAAAAGTAGTAATTACTAGTAATAGTAACCTTAGTTATGGGACATAAATGAAACCATAGAATAGGATAGGGAGAAACATTTTTCTTTTTCTTGGTAAGAGAATATAGGCATTGACTGAAAAAATTTATAAGGCATGATTTATCTGCTCTGTATTTCTAAAACAGATCAACCTGAAAATTTTCTATTTTCTTTCCTTTCCATCAACTTGTGTGTATGATGACAAAGGTGACAAAGGTATTATTCACATATCTTTTTAATTCACTGAATTTTTTAAAACTAATTTTTACAAGCTAAGAACTAATTTTTACAAGCTAGAACCAAGAACTAAGCCTTGGTTATATAAGCCCTATTGTCATTTTTAAAAACTTAGATTTTTAAGAAGATTAAATAATCACCCAGAAGTAGCAAACAAATACTATTTGGTAATTACTGGCATTTTCTTCAGTTTTATAGACTTTCTAAAATTCAGTGATAGTCATTTTTGTAGGAAAATAGCCAGGTTCTCTTCTCCCTTGTCAAGTAAACTGTTTTGGTTCAAAGTTACGTACTCTTAGTTTCCAAACTGTTATAAACACAAGCTAATTGAATAACAGAGTATTTTCTGATCAGTATTTATTCCTATATTAACCTCAGTTTCGCTCTTTGTTCAGACAAAGAACAGTAAATCTAAATATAAATCTGTGCAAACAGATTTAGACTACTTCTTCCTACAGTTACATAAGTCTCTCTCACTACCGAGGGCTAAAAAAAAGTTTATGTTTATACTTTAAAAGAGAAAAGAACCATCTTTACTGAAAGTTCTTGGCTTAGGCTTAATATGTACCTAAATAAAAGCACACTCTTTCCTTGGATGGCGCATTTTCTTCTTCATCTCAGGCTTTCTCCTTAAAGCAAGGCTTCTTAACTTTTATGTAAACATGACTCCTGAAGTGACAGAAGTCCTCTTTAACAAGGTGGTTGATTCCACTTATCATATCTAGCTAAATGTAGTTGCAGCTGGTTTTCTAGTGGTAGTGGTGATAGGTTATAGTGAGTCACCCTACTCCAACCAGCGCCCCTTGTGACCAATGGCATGTACTCATGAGGTAATGGGTCAGAATTCAGGCTCCAGGCTGTGGTTGAGGAGCAGCTTTTCTGTAAGACAACGTTAACTGTTACTGGAATTCTACCCTAAAACTTGGCACCACCTTGCAGCTGAATGTTTCTCAACATTTACAGACAATGACGTGTGCTCAAACTTGCTAAGTGAGATACATCAAGAAAGTACTGGGGGTCCTGGGGGTTCTCCCCTTGGTAGTCATCCACTAACTTCTTAAAAGGGTGATACCTAAATGGGATCTTAAAGAACATGAAATCAGCCTGGCCAGTAAGATGGGGGAAGGAAGTTCCATGGGGAAGAATACAAATCTTCAAAGACACCAGGAAAATGGTACCGTCAGAGAACCATATAAGCAGTCCGCTGCAGCTGTGAGACAGGGATGCATGGATGAGTGGCAAGAAATGAAGCCAGAGTCTCGATGACAAATGCAGTTATTTGCAATTCTAAGATGTCAGGGCACATTCTAGGGTCAGCAGAGAGTCACAGGAAGACTTGTATGTATCAACAGATGAACTATATGAAGACATCCACTAAGTTTTTAGTGGATGGACTGAAAAAGAATAGAAAAACCCAAAAGGAGCAATTAAAACAAATCAGGTGAGAAATGATGAGGGCTTGAACTAAACAGCAATGGCATGGAGGCACATGGTCAGATGTGAGATTAAAAATGAGAAAACCACAGTGACTGACATAGTGAGGAGAAGGGAGAAGGGCAGAATCAAGGGTGACTTTCAAGTTGCTAGTGTGGGTAGCCAGTTGAAGTAAATGATTATGAAGGAGTTTTAGGCTGGGCAGGGGATGCAATGCAGCCAGGAGGGGGTGGACGGAATTGAGAACCAGCACATGCTGATGCTTATAAGGCTGCTAGTTCCCCAAATTATTACATTTTCTCTAGAGAGAAAAGTCATCATTTTAAAGGTCATTTTAGCTCTCTGTTAGTACAGAAGCTCTACTGTGTATTTCCAGAAGCAAAAAAGAGGTCATCACCAATGTTAGATATATTTACAATATATATTCCAATGAGTACCAAAATGGATTGGACCCATATGTTCAATTCACATTAAAGTATGTGTCACAATCCATCTGCTTTTAAAGTGTGTCAGAAATAATTTCCAGAACAAATGCCAAATATCCTGGAGATGTTTAGTTCAAATTACCAATCCATACCATTGTACTTGAACTGTTTGCTACTGAAATATATACTAAATGGAGATACGTGCAGGAAATCTCTTCTTCTAGACTTCAAAAAATGTTTTTAAATTTCATATTTTGAAATATAAAATGAGAAAAAGATTGTATATATGAAAGAAAAAAATGCATATTTTCTTGAAGGGCTCAGAGCCAAGAAGAATTCCAAAGTATCCTGCTAGTACAGTATGAATGCCTGGAGAGCTAACATAGCTAAATACATTGGGGTGAACAAAAACCCCGAAACTGGAAAGACTCTTTACATGTGTCTAGATACTTGCAAAAAAGAATAGTTCTGAATAATCCATTAAGATATATCTTATCCAGGATGAGCTGTGTAGCCAGGTCTGCCTGGCTATTGTCAAATAACTGTCAAATTTCTGAGCCACAACTTTTCAGCATTTTTCAAAAAATTTTTTTATAAAACTCACACAAACAATATCTAGTTCCATAATAACCATTACTATACACTTAGAGTTACTCTATTTACTTTCCCATCTGGCTCAACCTAGATCATGTAAAGTAAATTTCCTATACACTAAGGTCTTATACAGATACATAAAAAACTGCTGAGTGACTGAACAACAACAAATTAAGAAAAAGAGGATGGGGAGGGAGGGAGGGAGGGAGAAAAAAGCAGCACATTAAGAAAAGGAACAATGCTTCTTGTGGACACTACTGCTGTGCAACAAAAATGTCATCAATTTCCATCTCTTTTGCATATACAGGTTCATCACCAATTTATTGAAAATACTCCTAAAATGTTTTAAGGCTAATTTTAGTAGTATAGCATAGATTTTCCACTTTTTAAACATAGCAGACACACTATTTGTGGAGGAAGTTTCCTTGACCATAAAACAATGTATAAGAAAAACATATATAGAGCTTGAAATGTTTTTATGATGACTAGTAAATTCAACACCTTGATAGTAATATCATTGTATCAGAAGAACTACTTACTCAAGAAGATCTGGGTCTAGTCCTTCCGATATCATTTTGTTTCTTATTGCCATCACTGGAACACCCTAGGCAAAGAACACAAGATAATTCAATTATTAAACACGCCTCCATCATAAGACATACAAATAAACCAATGCAACAGAACTGAAAGCCCAGAAATAAACCCAAACAACTAACACTGGACAAGGGAGCCAAGAATACTCAATGGAGAAAAGAGTCTCTTCAATAAATGGTGCTGGGAAAATTAGATATTCACAGGTAAAAGAATAAAACTTGATCACTATCTTGTACCACCCATAAGAACTAACTTGAAATGGGTTAAAGACTTAAATGTAAGACCCAAGACCATGAAACTCCCAGAAGAAAACACAAAGACTCCTTGACACGGGTCTTAAGTAATGGTTTTACAGAAATCATACCTAAAGACTAAGAGACAATGTAAAAAGCAAACAAGTGAGACTACATCAAACTAAAAAGCTACACAGCAGAAGAAACCATCAGCAAAGAGAAAAGACAACCTATGAAATGGGAAAAATATTTGCAAATCATATACCTGATAAGAGGTTAATATCTAAAATATATAAAGAATTCATAGAACTCAAGAGCAAAAAAACCAAATAATTCAAATAAAAAATGGGCAAAGAACTTGAATAAACATCTTTCCAAAGAAGATATATGAATGGTCAACAGATACATGAAAAGATGCTCAACATCACTAGCCACTAGAGAAATGCAAATTAAAATCACAATGAGATATCACCTCATGCCTGTTAGAATGGCCATGATTAAAAGAAGATAACAAATGCTAGTGTGGATATGGAAAAAAGAAAACCCTGCACACTGTTAGTCACACGGTAAACTGGTACAGCCACTGTGGGAAACAGTATAGTATATAATTCTCAAAAAAAATGAAAAGAACTACCACATGGTCCAGCAATTCCAGTTCTGACAGCATATCCAAAAAACCCCCAAAACACCACCTGGAACCGATGTCTGCATCCTCACGTTCACACCAGCACTATTTACAATAGCCAAGACATGGAAGCAACCAACATGTCTACTGAAGGATGAATGGATAAAGAGTGTATATACATATACACACAACGGAATATTACTTAGCCATAAAAACCAACAGGATCCTACCATTTGTGACCACATGGGTGGATTCTGAAAGCATGATGCTAGGTGAAATAAATCAGACAGAGAAAGACAAATACTGTATGATCTCACTAATATGTGGACTCTAAACACAAAACAAAAAGCCAAACTCCTAGACAAAGAGATTAGACTTGTGGTTCCAGAGCCAGAGAGGAGGGGCAGGAGGATTTGGAGGAAGATGGTCAAAAGGTACAAACTAGTAAGAGTTATAAATAAATATGGACTAGGGATGTAATGTACAATAGGATGACTACTGGTAATACTTATATATGATATAATGAAAGTGTTAGTCACTCAGTTGTGTCTGACTCTTTGCAACCCCATGGACTGTAGCCCACCAGGATCCTCTGTCCATGGAATTCTCAAGGCAAGAGTACTGTAGTGAGTAGTCATTCCCTTCACCAGGGGATCTTTCCAACCCAGGGATCGAACCCAGGTCTCCTGCACTGCAGGCAGATTCTTTACCGTCTCGGCCATCTGACAGTAAATCCTAAGAATTCTCATTACAAGTGAACTTTTTTCTTTCCTTTATATTGCAGCTATATGAGGCTGTGGATATTAACTAAACCTATTGTCGTAATCATTTCAAGATAAAAGTGAACCAAAACATCATACATCTTAAACTTATATAATGATGTATGTCAATTATTTCTCAGTAAAACTGTAAAAATATAGAAGCCAGAATAAAGGCCTCCTCTATATGGTTCATTATTTTAAATAGCTCTTATTTTTGCTTTTATATTAATATGTGCATAGCACTTGGATAATCTAATAAGGTATATATTTTAACTGACTTAATGGAATCAGTGCTATAAAATACCACATAAGCCCAAATTAAATCATTTAAATTTATCCATTACTGATTCTGCTGGATAGAAGCCAGATATCATATTCTCACTCTTCTTATATCACCAAAAAAAGAAAACACTGATAAGTCAAATTATTAAGGCCTTGGCCAGGATGGTGCCATGAACACTTAACGATATGAATAAATGTCTTTTCAAATCAAGATTTCAGGGCCTTCTCCTCTTAAGTATAGCTATGTCAATGTTCCTTTCGTAAGCAAACGGTCCAATTTCACTTGGACACATTACACACAAAGGTCAAACAGAATTCAAGAACTCTTCTGGGATTACATTATATATCGTCTCGATACCAATACAAACACAATGTAATGATAGTACTAGAAGTGTGTAAGTCACAAAAATATTGAGAACATGTGAATTTCAAAGTTCAGGATAAGAACATCAAAACAGAAGAGGATATGTCAGAAATAAATATAAATTTACTTGAAAAGGGGATGGATTTGGTATAAACATTTATTGAAAGCTCACTTATACAACTCCAAGGGGAGCAGATGCAATCAAGTCTCTTTGTCAACTCCCCCGCTTTCCCAAAAGATGAGGCAACACTAGTCTGATGTGTTAAATCTGAGGACCTGGATTGTATAACCTTCAAAAGTACGTGGGGTCAGCACGCTTTAAAAGGCGGTACCTATGGTGGGGACCCTCTCCCTCATGCTGCTCCATCCCCCACGGCAGAGAGGGCAAGCCGAGCTAGGGTCCACAGGGAACGCTCCATGGCCTCCCAGCGCTGCTGTGCGCCCTCCTCTCTGGCCCTCCCTTCTCACTGGTCAGCTGTGGCCTCCAGCTCTGAACTTCACGTAGAGAAGAGGCGCTCCAGTCCAGTCTCACAGAGCCTCACCCGAAAGTTTCTGGGTGCTAACCTAGATGAGGCTCCCCTGCTTCCTTCTGCAGCTCCTTCTGTGTTCTCTGGTCTCAGGGGTCTTACAGAGCGAGATAACTTTATTGGGGTGAGCAGCAGAATTCTGATATCACAATCCCACACCTCAGGGTTTAACACCACAATGGCAGCGCAGTGCTTTATGATGAAAAAATAAAGACGTAATCAGCCCCTGCCATCAGAGAGTATAGTCTTAATAGATGTGTTAAAAAGATGACCACAATACAGTCATAAAATTGGTAACAGAGATCTGCACAATGGGCAAGGTGAGATCCAAGGAAAGGAAGACTAAGTAAGAACCAGCAAAGAATTCACTGAGGTGAGTCTTAAAGAGGGGACAGGAATTTATTAAAAGCAAACAAATAAACACAAAGACTTAGAAATATATATAAATCTTCAAATAATCTACTATACATAACCTGTTTCAAAAATATTTTAAAGAACAAATATAGGTATTTCTCTACAAAAGGCTGATTTTATCTTATATTTCACCCAATAAATATATATTGAGATCCAGGCAAGTATATAAAAAACAATGAGTGAAACGGATTATAAATTTAATATGCAGATATTTCAAAGTTAATGACCATAAATCTATCATGGAAGTGGTACAGTCCAGTTTAGTCACTCAGTCATGTCTGACTCTTTGCAACCCCACAGACTGGAGTATGCCAAGCCTCCCTTTCTATCACCAACTCCTGGAGTCTACTTAAACTCGTGTCCATTGAGTTGGTGATGCCATCCAACCATCTCATCCTCTGTCGTCCCCTTCTCCTCCTGCCTCCAATCTTTCCCACCATCAGGGTCTTTTCAAATGAGTCAGTTTTTTGCATCAGGTGGCCAAAGTATTGGAGTTTCAGCTTTAGCATCAGTCCTTCCAATGAACACCCAGGACTGATCTCCTTTAGTATGGACTGGTTGGATCTCCTTGCAGTCCAAGGGACTCTCAAGAGTCTTCTCCAACACCACAGTTCAAAAGCATCAATTCAGCACTCAGCTTTCTTTATAGTCCAACTCTCACATCCACACACGACTACTGGAAAAACCATAGCTTTGACTAGATGAATCTTTGCTGGCAAAGTAATGTGTCTGCTTTTTAATATGCTATCTAGGTTGGTCATAACTTTTCTTCCAAGGAGCAAGCGTCTTTTAATTTCATGGCTGCAGTCACCATCTGCAGTGATTTTGGAGCTTCTCCAAAATAAAGTCTGTCACTGTTTCCATTGCTTCCCCATCTAGTTGCCATGAAGTGATGGACCGGATGCCATGATCTTAATTTTCTGAATGTTCAGTTTTAAGCCAACTTTTTCACTCTCCTCTTTCACTTTCATCAAGAGGCTCTTTAGTTCTTCTTCACTTTCTGCCATAAGGGTGGTGTCATCTGCATATCTGAGGTTATTGA